TAAACCCCCTTTTTGCTGTGAAAAAGCAGGCCCAGGACAAGTATAGATCCATGGGAAGATGTTGCAAAAATACATTTGCGTTTAAACTTAAATCCACTTGCTTCTTCCTCAGCACCTCTATTTGGCTGGCTCTGCTGGGGTAATACCTCCAGGAGTAATCATCTTTTTCAATTCATAAAACGTTCCCCCAATTACTATCTCGGCTGAGTCTCCAAACAACTTTCAAAGCAGCCACTGTCCCTGTCCCGAGGCGGCCAGACCGCAGACTTGGCCAGCACTGACCGTGGCGACTCCCCCTGGCTGCTGCGCTTCTTCCTCCTGGCTGCCTCTGACATGGGCATTGTCACCCTCATTCCCCAGAAGGGTTCAGAGAGAGGATGTCACCTGCCTAAAGTCCACCAGCGAGTCCTCGAGGCAGCTCTTAAAGCTGGGTCTCAGGGTGCCAGATCTTCACGTCCCCCTGGAGGCTCCTGATCTCCTTGGGGAAAATGCTAAAACCAGGGTGACCAGCCTGTGCCTGAGCCTCCCTTGGTGGAGACACTCGAGGTTTTGATCAGCTGCATCTCTGTTCAATTCTAGGACCCATCTTACTGAGGGCCAGAGGGGATGGGCCGCTGTACAGTGGCAACGCAAACAGCCCCCCATCCTCCCGGCAGCTGTGATGGACACCAAACACTAAAATGGAGCCGTGCCTCAACCAGGGAGAGGAAACAAGATCTTCTGGCATCCTTGGCAAGCGCGACTCCTGGGCTGACTCTGTGGGGCTAAGGTCTCCTTGCTTTCATTGCTGTCTCCTGGAGGCCTGGACCCCTTAGGCCTATTCCGAGAGCCCAAGATTTCTGCCTCCTACTTTCTGGCAACTGAGGGTGGAAGGAGGAGCCTATTCTGGCCTGAGCTGGGAATTCACCTCTCCTCCGCGCCCACCTCACCTGCCTGGCTTTCCACGCTCTGTCACTCAGTGTTCATTCTCCTGTTCCCTTCACCGCTGCTGCTGCACACTGGAGGCTCACAGTAAAGACGCTCATTCTCTGACCCGAAGGGGCTCACATTCCTGTGGGGGAAATGCCCGCGTGACCGCACTCACGCCACATGGCCAACAGCAATCAGTCATGGTCAGCAGGAGGCACAGGGGCCACCAAGGGACATGGGTCCAGAAGGGGCTATGCGAGGGCTTCCAGGAAAGACTTTCTGGAGGAGGTACTCCCTGCCCAGGCTGGATTTTTGCAGAATTAGTAGGCGTCTATCTTAGGAAGAGGTTTTGGGGCAGAGGATTTCACAATACTGTAAGTGCTACAGGGTAAGAATTTTAGTCTGGTATATTACCTAGTGCTTAGAATAGTGTTTGGTATATAGTAGATGCTCAATAAACATGTCCTAAAAGAAAAAAGGGAGGGAAAAGAGGAAGGAAGGTAAGTAGGAATAAACAGGGAGAAAGAGCAGGCAGACCTAGGGTTGGGCTTGGTGTATTCTGGAAACTAAAAGTGCAGTAGCTCCAGGTGGCTGTAGCTGGGGTGGGAGGAGCTGTCCTTATCTAATCCTTTAGTTGGTGGTGTCCATTTCTTATCTCCCAACTGGGCAGACTTGGAGCTACTTTGGGGATGGGACCATTTTTTCCTCTCTAGGACCCTGTGGCCCCTGGTGCATGCACTGAGTGTTAATGTGTACACAGGTACTGAGCCTGTGCCGGATGTTGGAGACACATAGATGACTCAGAGTTAATTCCTGCAAACTTCCCCCCACCCCAGTCTGGCTGGGAGACAGACAGTAAACAAATGGCTACAACAATGGGCAGAAAGAATGGAAAACTATTATGGAGGTTCAAGCAAATCAAGACCAGGCAGAGGGATAGAACGATGGGGTTTGCACCAAGGGTGAGAAGAGGGAGGTTTTCATGGAGTAGATGGCCTTGCAGGGACATTAGTCTTAAAAATGACCAAAAAAGGGGATTGAGGTGTCAGGTATTCCAGCCAGAGACACAGAGCCCAAAGATATGGCTCAGAAAAGGTGGGGACTGTGGGATCCAGTGGGGAAAGGTAAGTTGGAACTTAGATGCCATTCTTGGGTGTTTGGACTTGCTTCATCTGACCGCATTTTGGATCATTTCACCAGCAGCTGCACACCTGGTTGGGGCTGTTGAGTGATCCGGTTTCCTGGGAACCCATTAGCTCCCTTCTCTGCAGCAGAGTGGGAGAGGGGTTTTTAGGACACCCTTTCTGCTGTCTCTGATCTCCTCCATTGACTTTTTAACCTTTGCTATGAATCTACCAAAGTGGGGCCTCATTCTGTGTCAAGCCCCAGCAAAGGGCAGACCACAGGAACAGCATGCCAGGCACAGGTCTCCCAACGTGCCACCCCTCTCTTACCACGCATGCTCAGGAAGGAGGTGCTAGTTCTTTTTGGAGGGTGGGAAAGAAAGATAGAGCAGGGAAATCTATATCAGACTCTCAAGAACTACTAGCGCTCTAGGAACTCCCTTTCCCACTTGACAGATGAGGAAAATGATGCCGATATGCTGGTGCTGCAGCCCTCACACTGATAGGGCTCGGCCAACTTGGTAAGAGAGTGAGAGGTGGTAGGGCCAGGGAAGGGCAGGGCTTTCCTTTAGCCAGGACCTAACCAATACTCATAATTTGTGGGCCTTGCAAACCCGAGATGAGTCAGGCTTCTTGTGAGTCAGTCTGTTGACAAGCCATCCCTGGCCATTCCTCGGCCATCAAAAATAGAAGTCCAGAGGAAGGGTATGAGGAGGCCAATTTAATTAGTGTGGGCTCTAAGGTACCTTAGGTTAGCCCTATTAAATTAAAACGCCTGGGGGAAAAAATAACTGTAATTATTTCCTTCTCTCCCCTATCGTTGTATTTCAACTCCCTCCCAACCTCCATGCTGCTCTCATTCACAAAACCTTTAAACTAGGGGCTACCACGTTGACAGCCATAGACTAGGATCCAGTGTTTCCCTTTTTCTGCTCCCTTTCCCTGGGAGCTCTCAGTCCAGAAAGAGCAGCGTGTTTCCAGAGGCGGCTGTAGGGCCTGGCCATATTCTAATTTAGGGAGGCTGTTACACTGAGCAGAACATTATTCCAAAAATGCACCCAGTCTCCTTCCTGAACCAATGCAGATCCGTTTGCTGCGGGGCATTTCTTTTACAAGCTCCTTTTCTCTCTTCTGCTGATCAAAATAAGCAAACTTTAACTGGGGGGGGTGGTGGTGATGATTCTTTATTTTCTTGAAATCTAGTTCTGAGTTTTCCTACTTGAAACGTGTTTTCCCCAGGACACTGACCTATCCTTTAATTGTTTGGTGCGAGGCATGTTAGGGGGAGGGGCGTTACTTGTTTATTGGAACAGCGCAGTTAAAAAAAAAAAAAAAAATCAACCTAGGCTAACAGTTTCAAGGCTCCCCTAAAGATGTATCCAAACAGGCAGCCAATCAGCGCTTACACAGCTTTTTCTGCGAGACTCTTTTAAAGAGACAGTGCCCGCAGTGCTTCATCCCATTTAAAGAGAACCGCGCTCTAAAAGCAGTCTGAAAATGGGGGGATCTTCCCCTATTCCTCTGCTTTCCGATCGTGAGCCTCTCTAGTGAGGGTCACACACGGTGTGCGCGGGGTTCCTGACGTGGGCAGAAAGGAGTCGGCAGCAAATAGCTGGGTCACCCTGCCAGCCCCCCCCATTTTCCCATTGTACACCTGGGTCACTGACAATGGAAGCCTCCCCTCCCCCTCCGCCCGACTCGCCCCCACTCCCCAATTTAGCTCCATTTATTTGAAGTTTGCACATTTCCGTGGCGCGCGCTCTGCGTCGCGGGGCGCCTGGGCGACGGCCCCCCTTTGAGCTGGCCCCGTCCCCCGCGGAGAAGCCGCGGGGCGAACTTGCCAGGGGTGCCCGTCCGTGGGCACTCAGGGGTCGGCAGCCCCTCGCCCCCGCCGCGCGCGCCTGCCGGCCCTGCCCCCCGAGTCCCCGAAGCACGCCCAGGGCCGTGTTCGCGCGGCTCCCACTTTGGGGTTTTCCAAAGTATTTTAATGATCTAGTAAAGGAGCGGCCGCGCGCCCCGGCGCCGGCTCGGGCAGCCCCGCTCGCAGCGTGGAGCCGGGACCCCGCGCCCGGAGCCCGCCGGGGCGCAGAGGAGGCTCGGGGGGCGGGGCGGCCGGGCCGGGGAGAAGTCTGGGGTGCGGGTGCGGGTCGGGGTCGCCGCCCCGGGTGGGGCGGGTCGGGGGCGCTGCGGGCCGGGCCGCGGCGGCGAGAGGCCGCGGGAGGCGGACGTGGCGGGCGGGCGGGGGCGCGCGGCCGGGGAAGGGGTCCGCTCCCCTCCCCTCCCCTCCCCTCCCGCGCTGCCGCAGAGGCCCCCCGGCCCCCACGGTCCGCGCCGCGGGGCGCGCCGGCCACCCCGCTCCCCTCCCGGGCCGCGCGCCCCGAGCCCCCCGCCCCGTCCCGTCCCCGGCCGTGCCTCCTCCCCGCGCCCCCCGAGAGCGCGGCTCGCGCCCCCGCGCACCCCCGGCGGGTCCGCGGGAGCCGGGGCCGCGGTCCGCGGAGGCGGCCGCCGCGGGGACTGGCGCGGCCGGGCGCTGACAGGGCGTCCCTCCCGGCCGCCGGGCCCGCCCCCGCGCGCCGATTGGCGGAGGCGGCTGCCCGTCGCGCCCGCGGCCGCCCGCCCCGCGCCGCGCCGGGGTAGCCACGTTCGGTTGCGCTCCAAGTAGACCAGCGGCGGCGGCGGCGGCGGCGGGGCCGGAGGCGCAGGAGGCGGCGCAGGCGGAGCCGGGCGGGCGGCGCGGGCAGCCAGGGGCACCGGGCCGGCGGGCGCGCGGCGGCGGCGCACCGGCACCCAGGCCGAGCCCGCGCGGGAGGAGTTCCAGGGCGATGGGGCCGCGGCCGGGGCTGACGCTTTGACAGCTGGAAAGAGCGCGGAGCCAGCGCCCGGGGGGAGGGAGGGGAGCGCGGCCAGGGGAGCGCGAGCGCCGGGCGAGTGAGCGCCGGGGAGGGGGCCGGGGCGAGGGGCCGCGCGGGAGCGGCCGGAGCGCGAGCGGCGGCGGCGGCGAGGCTCGGCGCCCTCTTCTCTGCAAACCATGTTTGCCAAAGGCAAAGGCTCGGCGGTGCCCTCGGACGGGCAGGCTCGGGAAAAGTAAGCCCTATTTTCCAAGTGGCGGCCGCGCCGCCGCCGGGCTGCGGGCGGGCTGCGGGCGGGCGGCGGGAGGCAGGTGGGCGGGCGGCGAGGGCTGCTGCGCCCCGGGCCCCGGCGCCGCCCGCCCGGCCCCTTCCCCGAGGCCGTGGCGCGCGGCGTGGGAGAGCCCATTGTTGGGAGCCGGCGGAGCTTGGGGTACGGGGAAGGGGCGGCGGGGGGGCCCGCCGCGGGGCGGGGGCACTTGCTGGCCGCGGGGCGTGCCGGGCGCGGAGGCCGGCGGCGCGGGGTGGGCGAGGACCCGCGGGCGAGCCCGGGCGCCCGCCCCAGCCCCGCGCCCTGCGCCCGCCGCCGGGGCCGCACTTTGCCCACCGGGCGCGGGCAGGGGGCGCGTGGCTTCTGCGGCCCCGAAGGCTCCTTTTGTCCGCCCGCGGCGTGAGGAGTGCGTGCCGGGGGCTTTGTTCGGCCGGGAGCGCTCTCCCTTCCCTGCCCTCGGCCTCCGCGCCGGCCCCGCGCCCTCCGGGGCGCCGCGCTGGGCAGGACCGGCGGCGCCGGCTCGGCCTTAGGCTTGGGGGACAGTTGTTGGGTGGGGGGGGGGTGAGGGTGGCGCTTTGCTGCCCTCTCCAGAGCGCGCTGAACACCCCGGAGTCCGCGGCTGAGTCTCCTCGGACCCTCAGCGCCGGGGAGAGGGTGGCGAAAAGTGGGTTGGGGAAAGCAGGGAGGCTCTGGGGTCGGTGGCTTGCGAGTTTGAGACACCCAGGGAGGTTTGGCCCCGACGCTACTTGGAAGTTCAAGTTTGGGGGCTACTCTGCAGTCCCCACGGCTTGAGGTGACGCGTTCCCTGCTATCCACCCACTAATTGATCTCACTCCAGCGCCAGGCAGGGCCAAGCTGGCCTCACACCTCTGCTTGGGGCCACAATGGGACAGCGCAGACAGGGCTCAAGCCGGCTGGCAAGGTCCTGGAGCTAGCGCCCAGGGCGATCTGACGCCTGCTCCCTCTCTCTCTCTCTCTCTCTCTCTCTCTCTCTCTCTCTCTCTGTCCCTCTCTCTCTCTGCCTCCTGCCCACTTTCCAGGTTAGCTTTATACGTCTACGAATACTTACTGCACGTAGGAGCACAGAAATCTGCACAGACCTTCTTGTCCGAGGTGAGTGGAACTGCCCCATCATCCAATTTCTTGACACCCCCTCCTCCCCACTATTCTTAGAGCCTTTGTTTTCAGGAGCAGCCACTGTGGCCACCATTTTGAATTTTTATCACCTTTTGGCATTTATTGTTAGTTGGTCTTCACAGCCTTTTGGCTCTGGGAAGCCCCCAGCCCACCCCCGCCCCTCTGCGCCTCTAAGCGGATCTCTGCTCTCTCCTTTCTAGATTCGATGGGAAAAAAACATCACGTTGGGAGAACCGCCTGGGTTTTTGCACTCCTGGTGGTGGTAAGTTTGTGTGATAGTTTTGTACGTGTGTTTGTTTTGTTCCGAGCCCCTGATCCAAGGGAACAAAGAAGGGAGCCCTGGAGCAGGCCCCCCACCCCTTAGCCCTAGGCGTTGCAGGCAGCGGGCACCTCTGGGCACACAGAGCAGGGCTGACCAAGGAGGAAAAGGGCAGAGGAGTCTGGTGCCTACAAAGTTTTTGCCTCCTTTTCCCTCTTCTCTTGGGAACTTACTAAATTGTGCCTGGTGTTTGACTAGAAACTTTACTTTCTCTTCTCACGCTGGGGTACCAGGTAGGGGCTTGCAAAAACCTTGAAGGATTTTTGTCAATTCTGCATGCTGCTTTAATTAGAGGGAGCAGGGGGCAGGGCAGGGTGGAGGGGATACAGGTCTGTTTTACAATTGTCCCTTCCTTTTTTCCTCTGTGAACTAAGAACCTTAAGAGTGAAAGGCTGCTGGGGCCTTTTCAAGGCACCCTGAGCAAAAACCAGAAGGGACTGCCACTTCCTTTAAAGATACTGATTCAGACTGACTGGACCTTCCTTTCTTCTGTGGGCCCTGCCCCCCAGCCCAGCATCCCTAAAACCACGAGGTTTCATTTTACCAAGAACCTTAACTGGTCCCTGTTGACCTCGCAGAATCCCTGTAGTTGGGAATTTGGGGGTGCTCTCTTATTGGTGACCCTCTACCAGGCCCCTGACCACAGGTCTTGTGCCAGTTTTCGGCAGACAGGAGAGAGGCTTAGGGTCAGCGGGAGCAAGTTGCCCCCAGTGTGACACCTGGGTGTTTTGTGAGACCCATTGGGGGAGTCTCTGGCTTCCTTTTGAAAAGGAAAACAAAGTAAGAGTGGCTTTTGGTATTTTGGTGAAGTTCAGGAAAATGGAGTGCCATGTCTTGGGATCTTAGCATGTTTACCTGACTGCCAACTCAGGTTACTGTTTCAAGTCTTTGAAATGCAGGGGGATGAAGTGTCTGTTCTAACTTGCGTCAGGAAAATGAGTTTTTAATTACTTCTGCCAACCTCGGAACTGCCGTTCTGGAGGTATGTGGTGTGGCGTAAGGATTCTACCTGTAGGAGTGGGTGATAGGTTTTCTGTGGTTATTTTTGTAGGGAAGTGTGTGGTTGGGGTTGGTGGGTCTGACTTGTGGATTTTCTGTAGAAACTTAGACTTTTGAGCAAAAGAGTCACTTAGAAAAGGCAGGGGAATTTGTGGCGCTAGAAATCTTTTGACATGTGGGAGAGTTAAGCATATGTGTGCACCTTTGGAGAACAGAGGGGAATGTTCTCTTAGACCCCCACACAGCTCATACAAATCCCCGATTTTCCTGTTACGGCCATAGTCCCCCGTAACTTCTCCATCCTTGTCTCAGCCCCACTTATGAGGAGAGAGAGAGTGACGTGCTAGGCTCCAGCAGCAGTGGCTCTGACTGGCTGTGGCTGTGGCCTTGTTAGTTATAAGTTTCCTCGTGAGATTTGACACTGAGCAAATGACCGAGGCTTTGGAATGGGAGGAAGCAGTCGAGCTGATCCAAAGAGGGGCAGGCTGCGATATCCACACACCTTGAGTGAGATGCTTGTCTGACTGGGAGACGTGGCAGTCGAGATGATTTCTTCTGTGCTGCCTGTTAGTGGCCGGGACTGAAGCGCGGGGGTGGGAGTGAGACTTCTGCTACATTGCCCGTGCTACTCTTCAAGCAGGTTCCCATCCCTGGGCCTTGGCTCTTGACCTGGAGAGGGTTTCTCAAACCCCTTGTCAGTACCATTGGTAACCCTTTTTTGGTGTAGGTTTTACCGGTTGACAAGAGGCCTGTCTGCCTGTTGTCATGTAATACAAGGTGTTGGAGTGATCATGGAGGGGCATGGAGCAGGAATGTCTAGGGCAGCTCCCTCTCCCCTCCCCTACCTCCTCTTCGCTAGACAGGTGAACAGGTACCTCTCTGAGGAGGGCTCTCTGTTTCAGCATGAAAGGACAAGATACTTGTTCATCCATAAACTCTTCTTTGGCTAATTGATGTCTGTTATTGAGAGGGGAGGGAAGGAATGGTTTTGCATAAGGGACTAAGTGAGAGTGGGGGTGTGAGGGAGGAGAGGAGGGGCTATTGGTCCTGAGATTAAAAATCTGTAGATTCTTTTTATTGCCAGGATCCCCGAGACTGCCTTGAATGTGAGTCGTGATCATGTCCTGACTCTGACAATTTAACCTTTTTACAAAATGCAGCCGGTTGGATGGGGTGGAGGGAGCATAGATAAGAGAGTCATGGGTTCTCATCCAGATTCCTGCCTGCACTATGTGTGCATCTGTGGGTGGGTGGTACTAACTTGTCGCATTTCAGTTGCCCCTTGTATAAAGTGGGGGATTAAATCACTTACCGTAGTCACCAGCAGTATCTGTGTGAGGCACCCACATAGTAAGTGCTACTAGATCCTCTTCTGGCAGTGGCTGGCTTGCCAGAAGAGGTTGGGTCCATTTTGTTTTCTAGGCTGAGTTTGCCCAACGAATGCCGGTAGGGGGAAGGAATCTTCGGGAGACTTGGAGCTGTTAGCCCTGTGCATTGTGCACTTGCCGTTGGGCATACAAGTAATAATTAGTAACCTGATCTTATTTTATTTTTCAACTTGCAGTGTATTTTGGGACCTTTACTGTGCAGCTCCTGAAAGGCGAGACACTTGTGAACATTCAAGTGAAGCAAAGGCCTTTCATGATTACGTGAGTAACAAATTTTTAATCCTGGCAATAATTACAGGGTTGGATAGCTCTAACTTCTTTAGTACCAAAAGCAAACACAGCCAATTGGCAGTGGTCTTTGTTTTCTCCTTGCCTTTCTTTCTGTTCTACCCACCTCCCTGCGACCTCTCCCCGTCCCCTCTTCCAGCAGCTTTCTGTCTTGGTGCACGGTATTTCATAATGCTGTAATTATGCAAAAGAGCGTAGATACCTATCTGGAGAATTACATGGCGTTGTGCAGGGCTCAGCCATGTGAGGTTTATGTTCAGAATGGACAGTTTGCTAGGAGTGTACTGAGCCTCTTTGGTGTTGGTTTAAACGAAAAAAATGATCACAACCAAAAAAATTAAATAAATAAAAGCAAATATGAAATCTGTGTTTTGGAGTAGAGGGGGTGGTACAATGATAATCTGGCGACATTGAGACTCGTACCATTTTCCAAAGACCGATTTTGCAAATTATATTGGGGGTGGGGGTAAGTTTGGACAGGGGACTCATGTCGTGTCCAAGAAGACTACGTGTGCTTTAAGGATCAGGACTGGTTTATCTTCTGAAGATAGTTAACTTAACGTTGCAGTGCTTTTTTCCTTACCTGCTCGCTACTTGGGTGAGTGTCTTCAGATTGATGAAAAGCATACAAGAGAGATGTTTGCCACATGTCTACCTTCCGTGACAGCTCCCCTTAAAAGAAAAATTTGAACTTCCGCACCCTGCAAACCTGAGTTGGAGTCCGTCTTTACACAGATGATACAGGGTTAAGATCTTCTGGGAGCAATGTCAGGGGAAGTACCCAAATCTGTCTCCTTCCATTCTACTTCCTGTCAGCCTTGTAGGCTGCGTGTGCCCCTCTGAGTGTGCACATGTGCACGTAAGAAATGACTTGTCCCATCTCTTCTGCGTGAGGTGGATGGGAATGGTCTTCCGGCCCTAGGCATGGAAGTTGGTTGCTTGAATGTCATCAAGGCCGCCCACTTGGTCAGATCATCAGTGTCCCTTATACAGAGTTTGAAACTGGCGTAGGAATCCAGAACCCATCTGGTTGAGTCTCACAAGTGGTCAGAACCCATTATTGAGAATATCTTCGTGGTAGAATTTCTCCTGTAATATGAAGAGATGGAGACTCAGCTGAGTCTCACTAGTTTTAAGACTATTCAAAGTTGATGTGATTTTGACATGACCAAGAAGTCAATTTCCTTGGAGTGGAATGCTGAGGAAATCGACCAGTTCTTGTGCCCTTTTCAGGGTTGAAAAAGACAAGTTGGCGATTGGTACTTCCAGGCTGGTAAACTCTTTTTTTTTTTTTTTAAGATTTTTATTTATTTATGTATACAAGAACTAGGGTAGAGATCAGAGGTGGGCGTGTGTGAGAGGATTCACCAGAGACAGAATGGGGAGCAGAACAGGCAGACTGATCGAAATACACTGCTGAAGGGAGCAGTGGGTGAGTCAGGAGGGGTCTGCTGTGCCATGTGGGTAGCTCCCTGGCAGGCCGGGGATTGAACTCATGCTGCAGAGGCTGGGACAGCTTCATAGGTTGCGTCTTATCCACTTGTGCCACTAGGGAGGCCCAGGTCTGGTAAACTCTTAGTAGTATAAGGTGAGTTGATTGGTTTGCTTGCAGTATAGTTCTTCTGGGAAAATCGAAGGTGATCATGGTAGTTTCCTGAGTTGGAGATGGGGGGAGGAGACTAAGGTGTGTTAGCCATATAAAAATGATGAGTTTGACCTTTGTGCTTAGTAAAAATCTTACCTTTTACTTTTTTTTAAACGTGTGAATGATCAATTCTTGTGTGGCTAGTTTTCCACTGCTATGCAGATGGTTTTATTTGAGAGTGGGGGATGGGTGAGCGTGCCTATTTCAAGTCAATCTCTTGCTTGACGTAGGATATCTCTGCTGTCTTTTGCAAGACACTGTTTAGAGAAGTTAATAATTTTTAACAAAAGTTTGGGGTTCTAGTAAATGTGAGACTGGTAATTTGTGGTTTGGTCTGCCATCTTGAAATAGTGTTGTGGCAGCAGAAGTGTGCATGGACTTGCGCTCAGTAATTTAAGGAATGGCGGCAGAGTTGTATGGAGATTGCTGTGGTGGTTGTAGTAGATGTTTAGAAGATTCTACCAGGAAAAGGAGATGACACCATTTGAGGTCGGGGGTTCACAGATTTTGAGACCAAAACCTTTTTTTTGCTGGATTGGGGATTCACCTGGTGCCATTTGGGAGGAAGGATGGAGTGAAGAATGGAGAACATTTATATTGTGAGGAAGAACCGGGAGGCCTTGAGTTGTAGGGGTAACAATAAGGAAGCAAGTTGCAACTTAAGTATTTATGAAAATTAAGAAAAGGAATTCTTTTTTTCTCTTTGTCTTTCTCAAGTCTTCAACCTTTCTCTGCATTCGCTTGGCTCCCATCTAGTTAGCCCTCATTCCTTCTTGCTGGAATTGTTGCTGTAGCCTCTTTCTTGACCCCTTCCTCTTGTTTGGAATGTATACCTCTCTCATCCATTCAGATCCTACCCATCTTTTAAGTTCTTCTTGGAGGACAATTATGATCATTCTCTGCATCCTCCTGTTGCTCCTTCATCTCAGTGTTTATAAAAACCACTTGTCCATGCATGGCCTTAGTTGGCAGCGTCCCATGCGATAGGCCCGTGCTGAGCCACGTGGGTTCTCTCTCTTGTTTCAAGGTACCACTGGCCCTGTGAGTGAAGGCATGTTGTTAATTCCATTTTGCAGATGGAGAAACTGAGGCCCAGAAAGGGTAATTCACACTTGGAAAGTGGCAGAGTTAGGATCGAAACATGGCCATTTCTGACTCCAGAATTGGTTCTGCTCATGCCGCTGTAGCTCAGTCTCCCAGTGTTTGTGCCTATTCTGATTAACTTCTCATGAAGGTTTATCTTTCCAACCACAGCTTATAATTTTTTCCGCCAGAAATCATGAACTATTAATCTTTGTAACTCCCACAATAACTTGCACATAGTAGGCACACTTGCTAATGAAAGGGTTAAGGAACAATGGGCAAGAAAAAAAAATAGGTAATTTGGGGTCAGTGAGTAACCTGGTTTGGAACAGCCAGTGGAATATGGGAAGATGTTCTGTCGGTGACATCATTTTTAATGGGTGATCTTGAGCCAGGTGATCGTAATGTGGGTTTACTAGTCTCCTTAAATCCTTTATTGAGAGGATAAAGTGGAGTATAATTACTGACCCTCCGTTTCCATCAAGGGCATTCAAAGATTCTCATGGTATGGGGGGTCCAATACCAGGTCAGTGTTTATGGGGCGGGGCCTGCGGAAGGGCCCACAGGGCTGGAAAGGACCTCTGTGGAAAGATCCTGGTTCTCTTAGGGAAGTAATGTTGTGTTCTCCCCTTCCTGAAGGCTGGGTCAGGCGTTGGATCATCTCAAAGGCTCCTTTAGGTCAAGGCTAGGCTGTTGGGTCTGGAATGAACCAGGTGACTCAGCGAGACAAGGGGTTTAAATTTTCTCTGAATTGGTGAGTTTTTGAGTCATAGTCTATTTTCCCCCACACACCTGGCAACCTCAGTGTTCTTGGCTCGCTGTTGATAAGCCCCAGTGCCCTGATGTTGACCACACGAAACACAGAGTGATGGAGGCTTCCGTCTCCTGAGTGGGCTTTTCTGAGAAATTGGTTTACCTGGTCGGAAAAACCCCAGAGGCTTGGGAGGAGGCTCACAGGGTCCCTGCCTGTGGGTTCCCTGCACTCCCCTTTTAGTCCGAGTGCTGACTTAAGCCCCTGAGGTCCTGTTGGGCTCTTCGAACCGCTGTTGTCAGCTCCTGGCCATCGTGGAGAGGACTCTGCTCCCAGCTGCACACGGGTTTGCTGCTGCGTCCTGGGCCACCTTCTCTAGTACATGTGCTGCTTTTCCTCCAGGGTCTGTGGGGTGGGTAGAGTCTTTGTTGCCATCTCAACTACCACCAGTCCTTTCCTTCCTTGTGGTAGCTAATTTCGTTCTCCTTTTGGTGCTAAGGCCCAGAAGTGGCCCCTGAGGGGGGAGGGAGGCCCTCGCTCCTGCTGCTGGACTTTTCTTGACACTTTGTCAACACCTGCCTGGTTTGGCCGCATAGCTGCCTTGTTGATCAGGTTTCATTATCAGATCTCATCCCCATTTTACACACGGGGAAATGGAGGCCTTGAGTTTGGATGGCTCATCCAAGGGCATGTAGCCAGGTACCGTGACTAGATGCGCGTCTTTCAGCTTCCACCTCTCAGCTTTGGGCAGCAGAATCCCTGCAAAACCTGGAGAAGGTATTTATATTCACAGAAGAAATGAAATTAGCAGAGAATTAAACTGAAGCCCTGGGAGGTGAGTTGCAGAGTCACTGCTGAGTTGGGCCCTGAGCTCTAGGAAAGGTTTGCTATGGTGCAGTAGCTCCTTTGGCTGGGAAAATGGGATCAAAGCTGTGGCTTTTCCTTCCAGAAAATACATACATCTCCCCACAAAGATTTTGGACATGATTTCAAGAGGTTCATAGACTGCTGCCCCCAATTCCAAGCTCTTCTGTGATCCCCAGTGAAGAACTTGGGAAGCATAGTGGGCGTGGAGTCCCATGACCTTGGAGTCTCTGTTTCCCTGCTCTGAAGATGAAGGGGTCCCTTCCAGTTCTGCCTTGTAGCCCCCAGCTCAGCCTCAGCAGGGCTGGCTCCCTCACCACTGTGCACTCCCCACCCCGTAGGATCTGCTGATCCCCCTCCACCCCAACTCTGAGCCTTTGTCTCCAGGAGGGTTGGTTAAAGTAGAAAAGTGCCCCAGAGTCGAGGGCGTGGACGGGAGCTGAGGTATTTGTGGCTCTGTGGCAGGGGTCCAGCGTCCTTGGTGGGTTTGAAATAGCAAAGTGATATTTGAGAGGGCTCTCCTTGGATGTGCTGAGCTGAGGTTCCTGCCAGGCAGGGAGTGTCCATGCCTGCCAGAACCCTTTGGGGGTAGGGGGTTGAGAGGGTGGCAGTGCAAGCAGGAGTGGAGGA